GGGGGGGGGGGGAGCTGGGAAGGGGTGGTCTTGGAGTCCCACCCTCACCTCCAGTAGAGTCTTGTCAGCAAAGGCCATGATGCCCTCGAAGATGATGACATTGGCGCCGTAGAGCGTCTTCTGCAAAGGGAAGGTGCCTGAGCTGGGCCCATCCTGCCTGCGCCCAGGTGCCCGCACAGCCCAGCCTGCCAGGCCTACCCAGTCCTTCTTGCGGCTGTGGGTGGTGAAGTCATAGACGGGCACCTTGACGCTCTTGCCCTGCTTCAGCTTCTGGAGGGTGGACACGATGAGGTCGAAGTCAAAGGCGTCCGGGTGGTCGAAGTTGTAGTTGTTGAGGGCAGCCTGCTCCTGCTGCTGCTGGGTGAGCACCTGTGGGGAGAAGCGGGGTGCAGTGCCTGCCACTCAGGGCAGGGCAGGGGCAGCAGGCCTTCAGGATGGCGGCCACACACATGGGGCACCCCTCACCTTGTAGAAGGAGTCCATGGACAGCAGGACCACCCAGGGCACGTCCAGGGCCTCGATGATCATCCTGGCCACGGTGGTCTTCCCAGAGGCACTGCCACCACCCAGGCCTGCAGTGGGGAGCAGAGCAGGTGGTCCTCACACCTGGGTTCCTGGGTGGGCAGGGCCAAGGCAGCCCTTTCCAACCAAGTCACCACTACCGGAAACTGCTCTCCAGGCCTGACCTCTTCCTGAGAGTGCAGGTCAGCAGAATCGCAGCGCTGGCACCAGAGGGTGGGGCCCTCCTCACCCACCTGCTGGGGGTGGCCAGGCAGGGGGCGGCCAGCTTACCGATGGCAAAGGCCTCCTTGGACTGTGTGCCGTGCTCATTGTACCAGGGCGGCCGCCCTGCTGTATAGATGGTTCTCTTGCTGGTGCGCAGCAGGGGCGGCTCCGATTTGCACTGGCTGGTGGTGCGTTTCCGAGGTGAGCGCCCAGCACCCATGGGTGGGAGGAGCCTGTCCAAGGCTTCGGCATTGTTGCTGTAGGGTAGGAGCACACACGCACCTCAGCCCAGGGGCACCAAACCTGCCACCGATGCCAGGCCCAGCATGGCCGTCCTTATGACCCACCCCATGCAGGCACAGGGGCACAGCTGAGATGGCACGTGAAACCCGCCTGCTGCCCATCCACACTGCCTCGGTCACTGTTCACGCAAGTTCAGAGGAACAGCAAACCAAGATGGAGGGACAGTGTTGTGGGTGGATGCAGGAGGGGGACCCTGGGCTGGGAGATCTGTGGGGAGGCCACTGATTCTCATCTTCCTGCATCCTGTAAACTGCAGTGAGAGGGGGGACGCCCCCACAGCCTGCAAGGTGGAAGCTCAGTCTAGAAAAGGCAGACAGCACCTGTGCCCAGCTATCACCACACTGCACTGCTTGTGGGAGTGGACATGCTGACCTCTCTGTCAGGGCTGTGGTGTGGTTACTGGCCTGATACCCCAAACCCGTCAGGGAAGGCTTCTGGGGAGGTCCGTGTAGTTGAGCAACCTGGCTCAATGCCTGCTCATGAAAGGCCTGAGACGGACCAGGACACAGATGTCTTGGACATGGGTTGAGTAAGAAAGCAACTCTAAGACGTCCATGTGAGAACCAGCAATCGGAGATCGCCAACCTGCCTGCCCGTCAAGTAACCGCAGTGAGTGGGACATACAAGTGCACCTGGGCACTGAGATTTGGAACAGGATGCTTGAATGTCTTATAAGTATGTGCCCCTTTGTTATAAAAAACAGGCCAAACCATGGTCTGTCACCACTACAACCCACGGTGCCAGGATGGTGTTTGTGCACAGGTGTGGGGGGCACAGAAGGAGCTAGCTGAGGCCCAACACCTGACAAGTCACATCAGCAGCTCTGAGGGCACAGAGAACAGTGTCCACACACGTGTGAGTGGCAAGAAAGCCATCGTGTGACAGGAGGCACCCTGCACAGTCCTGGGGGAAGAAGTTGCCAGGGCAACGCAGAGAGCAGGTACGGGATATAATCAGCCAAGTCTGTGGCACCTCTGTGGAGAGCCTGTCGTGTTTCGCTCAGAACCCATGCTGACACTTGCCGTGGGGCTGAGTACAGCAAATAGTAGGTGCCCAGGTGGCATAGTGGGCCTGGGGACAGGCCGTGGCACTGCCACCAACAGCGAGAGCCATGAGGAGACAGACGGTGTCCCCAGGCCCGGTCAGAGGGCAGTGCTGGCTGCTCACCTGGAAGCCTTCCCAGCAAGCAACCTCCACACCCTGGAAATGGCAGATGGAGCCATCCCAGCGGCAGGGAGGCTCTGAGTGGCCCTGGAGGCCCCTCCCCCCTGTGCCCTTCTACTCAGGGAGAAAACCCCAAGAAATCATGGTTTGCCAAGGGGCAGGGCCTGGCCAACAAGGGTGTACCAGTGCCGAGGACAGCCTCGCAGAATTGACCCCTGACAATGGAGGTCTGAGGCTGGCACTGCTCCTGTCCTCCTTGCTTCTCACACCAGGCTGGTGGCCTCTCTTGTGGGAGCCTTCAGGTCCCTACTGTGACTGTTTCTTATCCTATAGAGGTGATGACGACTACCAGCAAGGACGACCTCTGAGGCTCATGCTGCAAACAGCCTGGGGCAGACAACTTCCCATGCAAGAGGGGAAAGTGGGCCATGGATATTCTGCCTGAAATCCACCCACCTCAGCTGGTCAAGGGCCTAACCGGTGTCAGGCCAGGTCTGCAGCCAGGCCCAGCCCCATGGCCTTCTCTAAAGCCCATCTCTCTGGGAGCCAGGGACAAAGCCTCACTCCTTTCACAGTGGGACTGACTTCAAGTTGGGAAAATCACACAGGAGACCTCATTTCCCTGTTCACAGGTGGACAAGGTGCTCTGGCTATGATGACAGGTAATTTCAGCCAAAGGATTGGGAGATGCAGACCTGACTGCAATGAACAGTGACCAGCAAAACAATTGCCTGCGGGTGGTGGGCCCTGCCCACCCCCAAGCACCTGCCTGGCTCATTTGTTTCCTGTTGATTACATACAGCAAGAGTTGCCCAAGACACAGCCAAGGCCGGTCTCTTCAGCCCAGCTGCAGCACCACAGGCCTGCTACTCACCTGCCTTCCGCTCCAAGGGCCCAGCACCCCGAGATCCTGATGCCAGGGTAAGCTGGGGGACTGCTCATGGCTGGACACAGGGTGATCCAAGGTGTCTGCAGGGGCACCACCGCACTGCCTTAGACCCACAGCAGCCCCCTTAGACAACTCAGGAGCCCCCTGAACTGCCCCTCCATGGGTGGGTGACACAGACGGTGGGCAGCCAGGGTGGGGCCAGACCACTGGCTGGCAGAGGCTGCCCACTGAGAGGCAGGGAGCCAGCAGCTGTGCTGAAGGAGCAGCACTCACCACCAGCCCCAGGGACCGAGGTCACAGGCATAAGCGGATCACCCGACTGGGGCTGTGTGCTCGCCTGATATTAATAGCACTGACCCTGCTGGAGAATAGGCCAGCCTGGGGTGTAAACTGCCCCTCTGGTGCACAGGCTGACACACTATTGGCCCAGTGCTTGGTGAGGACCACCATGTATCCCCCTAGACCCTGGAAAGAGGGTCAGACCTCTGGCCTGCCTGGAGTTGCAGAGCCAACCGCCCCCAGTGGAACACGGAAATCTGAGGTATCTCTTGGCCAAGCTGAGCTGAATGTCAATGCTGAGCTGGGCGTACCATCCCTGTCCCCAAGGTGCCTTCTAGAAGCATAAACAAATCTGAAACTCTACTCTCCTGAGCATCTGAGAATAACTGCCCGCCCCACCCCCTCAACAGCTATGCTCCGGCATGTCCCCCAAGGCCAGCCGACGCTCATCACTGGTGGGGAAGAATGACACAGCCACTCCCCAGCCTGGCAGCAGGAGGAAGAGCAGGTTCAGAAAGGGTGGGTCAACTAAAGTATGTGTCCTCAGGTCTGTACAGGGATTTCCATCCACAGGTCCCAGCCTCCTCCCTCCCATCAATCCACTGAATGTCAGCTTTCCTTCTGACTCAGCTTCCGACATCACTATAGCTCTAAGAACCTCAAAGGAGAAAATTCTGCATGGGGACCTCCCTTGGCTGTCCAGGTAACATGGGTTTGTGTTTGCATCCACCAGAGGCATCTGGAGGCAGGACTGGCCTGCCTGTCTTTGCCCATAGGAGCTTCCCTCCTGACCTCTGGCCTGGGCAGACAGGCAAGAGGTGGCCCACTCTCAGGGAGGCTGGACCTGTCCTGGACAGGGCTGCAGAGCTGGGACAAGTACTCATGGCCTCACTCCTGTCTGACATTCCATTGGGTTTAGGGAAGTTTGCCGGGTGAGTAAAATGAGGTGGTGGGGGGGGGTAAGGAGGAGCTGGTTCACTAGGGCCAGGCCTCAGGGGTCCCAGATGAGCTCAGGGACAGTGGTTTCAGGGTGGCCTTCTCAGGGCAGTTGCAGGAATGGGGGGTCTGTGAGGCTGCAGCCCCACCCACCACCCTGAAATCTCCCTGGCAGGACCCCTCCTTCCTGCTGCTCTGAGTCAGCCTCCCTGCACCCCACAGCTGCAGCTCCAACTCCACCTGGACAAAACCAGGACACAGCCTGAGGAGCGTAGGTACTGCCACATGCACCCACTCATCCACCAGCATGTCCAGTTATAAGGGAGTCTGAGGTCCCTGTCCTCATGGGGCTGATCCTCTAGGGGTACGAGAAATGGCAAGGTGGGCAGACCACAGGGGTGAGGCTGCAGTGTGGAAGAAGCTGGAACAGTGGGCAGGGAGAGGCTTAGGGACACCCCGGCTCTACTAGAGGCAGCTGTAGGGCCCTCTGGGACTGCATGGACTGTGGGACAAGCACCAGTGTGGGGGAGCCGTGGACACCAGCGTCAGGGAGGAGTCCTGAGCAGAGGCAGCTCCAGGGCAGACCTCCTCCACTCACTGCCCTGCAGTCCACTCACTGCTCAGGTCCTGGCTCCCCTGCTCTGTTCACAGGGCAGGGCCCGCATGGTAGCTGACGCCAATCTGTCCTCAGGGAGTGCTTTGCTCAAAAACTTATCTGGCTCTGCCCTCTCTGATCTTTGGCTAAATCAAAGATTCTTTGGAATCAGCAGGTGTCAGCAACTCAGGGCCTATTAGGCCCTGTCGCCGTGTACCAAGCTCTTAGTCACTGCTCGCTAGGAGGGTGTGAGCCCAGGAGGACACAAGATGCTGCTTCAGGCCAAGGCAGCCTTTTCCTGCCCGACCCCCCCGCAGGAGAGCAGGGGCGCCGTCGCTGCCCGGCGGCCTCCGGGACCCGCTCCCTGCAGCCCCCAGACCGCCCAGGCGGACGCCGGGGCCCAGGCTGGAAGCGG